ATCTGCTCTCCAGAGGCCCCCCCTTCCGCTGCAGCCGTGGCTCCCCCCCTTCTCAGGCTGTGGGACGCGTAATCTGGTACCCGCCCGGCTATTTGTGGCAGGGCGCGCTGCATCTCTCCTAAGAGCGCCCTAAGCCTACGCGTAAACCCCTCCTTCCGCCAAGCCTCCGACCCCGGTCCCCACTGGGGGCCCCGCGTGAAGAGCGGCGCGCTGGGCTCCGCCCCCCCTGAGCGGGCCCGCTCTAGGTGGCGCCCTATAATGCGCCCGATGCGTACTCCGCTGCCAGACGATGCCCCCAGGTGCACATCCACCCCTGCCCCAACCTGATCGGTCTTGCTCCTCGTTATCCGCACCACGTGAACCCCACCAGCCAGCGAATGCACGTCACCTAGCCGCAGCCCCGCCAGCTCACTTCTCCGCAGCATCCCAAAGAAACCCACCACCAGCCAACACGCATCCTGCTCGAGCTCCGCTCGGCGCGCTGGTGCCCCGTCCGCCGTCGCTGCCAGCCAGCCCAATAGGAGCCGCAGAAGCGGCACCGGGAACGCCTCCTTCGTACGTTGCGGCAGCGGCTCGGCCCCTGCATCGCCGCCAGCTGTGGCGGCTGCCGCCGGCGCCCGGGCACGCCACGCCTGCCTCAGCGTGCGTTGCACCAATGGGTTCCGGCGGATGGAGGCCTCCGCCGGAAAACCCTTCGCGCGCTGCCAGTCCGCAAGGGCGCTAATGGTGCCTGACAACGTTGAGGGGGCCACACGGTCGGCCTCATGGGCGATGAACAGGCTCACCAGCTCGGGGCTGAGGTCCGCGCCCCGCGCAGGTGGGAAAGCCGCCCTCATGGGTAAGCCCAGAGCAGCGCAGAAGGCCGCGTAGCGGCGGCGATGGGATTCGTACGTCCCTGCTGAACCCGCCGACACGGCGCTTCCCGCTAGCGCCACCAGCCTCGCCGCGAGTGCCCCCTGCCGACCGCCCGCAGCCCCTGCCGGAAAACCCGCCGCCGCCAGGATGCAGTGGATGCAGCGGAACCAGCCGCCGGGGTACGAGCCCGGCGGCAGTCCCAGGCAGCGGCGATGTGCCCGTATGTCGCATGTCTCACAGCGCAAGTCCCCCACGGAGGTGCGCCGCACGCAGGCCTCGCAGCTCCCGCCACCCTCTACAATCGCCATGGGGGCGCAAACGCGGATCGGAATTCGGTCAGGGCAGGCGTAAGACCAGCATATCGTAAGGAGAAGGACCCGCCTCGTCGCCCCAGGGCCAAACGCAGAGGCGGCCGCCCCTGGGCAGCACCTGGGCGACCCGGAATGGTGCGGATCGGCTACGGACGAAGGCCCGGAACCACCCCCGCTCCGGCCAGAAAGGCACCACCACAACCGCCCGCGTCCGCGAGTCACGCCGTGCCGCTGCCACGAGGGTCGCTAGCACCTCCCCCACCAGGGCCTGGGGTGGGAAGGCCCACAGCGCCTTGCCCGCCAGCTCGGCCTCCTGGCCAAGCACCGACCGCCCCGCGCTGTAGAACACCTCACAGCCGGGCTGCCGGTTGGAGCCATGGGCGTCGCAGCAGCAGTCGACGGTGGGCCGGAGAGAGAACTTGCGGCATAGCTCCCTGAAGATGCTGGCCTTCAGCCGCAGGTTCTGATCCTGGGCGCTGTCAAGGCGGCGGCTGAGGCGGTCGGCCTGGCCGTTGTCCACGCCGGGAATGTGCTCAGCCCGGACCTCGAACCCTGAGCTAATCGCAAGCTCTGCAATTTGGCGGCTAAGGCTGCGGCCCTCTGGGATGCGGGTGGAGCCGTGGTTGATGGCTGCTACGGCTTGGGTGTTGTCACAACGCACCAGCACCCGGCGCCCGGCAAGGCTGGCGGCCCATGACTGCAGCGCTCTGAGGACCGCCTTGAGCTCCAGCCACGAGATGTGCAGCTGACGCTCCTCCTCTGACCATGCCCCTTGCACCTCCGCCTCCCCCCAGACTGCGCCAAACCCACGCCCACTAGCGTCCGTGAAGAGGACGGCCCCATCCTGGCCGATAAACTCCCCCCTCACTAGGTCCAAACCGATGCCCGCTGAGCGCTTTACCCCGTCCCAGACAGAGGAATCCGCCCGTAGCACCTGCCACCAGAAAGCCAGGTCTTCTACTGCGTCCGCCGCCAGGCCGACAGTGGCCGGCGGGCGGGTGGGGCAGAAGAGGCTGTCGTAGAGGCCCTGCATGAACGTGAAACCCCAGCGGCATGCCCGGGCTATGAACGTTAAGCGGCCGACGGTGGACTCCAGGAGGTGCCGCTGCACTGGTCCGGTAGCTGCCGCGTCCAGGAGGGCGCGCACGTCCGCCGCGTAGCGCTGCCGCTTGTCCGGCGAGATGCGCATCTCCATCTTCTCGGTGTCGAACAGCATACCCAGGAAGTCGAGCTGCCGCAGGTGCTCGTTTCGTCCGCGGTCCTTGCTGGTCTTCCACTCCAGCCCCAGCTCGCCACCTATTTCGTCCATGACCGCGAAGGCGCCAACGACGTCTGCATGGGTCACCCCTAGGATGATGTAGTCGTCGACGAAGCAGAAGAGCTTGACCCGTAGCCCCCGCCGGTCGCACTCCGCTTGGAAGATGGCACACGCGGCGTTGGTTAACTCCACAAAGATTGGGGGCGATTGGCTGGCGCCGAAGGGCAGCACCACCCAACGCAGGACTGCCTCCGTGGTGGGATGCCTAAAGGCCATGTACCGGCGTGCTTCCGGGCTGCACTTGATGTGGTGGAAACCAGATGCGAGGTCCCGTTTGCCTAGCGCCCCTTGGAACGGCAAATGCTCCAGAATTGAGGCGAGGTCGGGCAGCGGGCAGGGGAGCTTGGTCATGCAGTCGTTCACCCCCGAAGCGGTAGGGTCGATGATCGGGCGCAGGTTGCCATCCGCCTTGCTGACAACATGCAGTGGGTTGATAGTGGCTGCAAAGTTGCGCAGGGGGCCATGCTGCTTGCTGTCGTACGCCTCCACCAGGCCCTGGCGCAGTAACTCGTCAATGTGGCTGGCGTACCATTCGCTGTGTTCGCGCACGGATGGGTAGTTGCGCAAGTGGTGCGAGGTTGGCGGCGTGGTGTGGAAGGTCCAGCTGGCTTCGTTACGGGACGCAGGCGTGTCGATGCCGTGACGCTGCCACGCGGCCGTATTAAGCTTCACGCCCCCTGGGCCGAACCAGCGGCCGGCCGACGGCGTTTCCGCCGCCGAGTCAGGCATCCACAAAACTGCATGAGGCACAGGTCAAGGTTACGCTTTGGGTGTTCACCCTCGCAGGGCCCCCGTTCGCCGTAGGTCGCGTACACCACCGATTGAACCACATGCAAACACCGTCAGGCCCTTCTTCCTTCAGGCAGAGCCACACGACCCCGGTGCATGCCACGGCATATTGCTTGTCACCCGCGCAAGGCCCCAGTCCGCCGTAGGTCGCGTACACCACAGACTAGACAGCAGGTGGACGCAGGCAGGCCCTTCTCCCCTCGGGTAGGGTCACGCCACATGGACACACGCAACAGCACATTGCTTGTCACCCGCGCAGGGCCCCAGTCCGCCGTAGGTCGCGTACACCACAGACTAGACAGCAGGTGGACGCAGGCAGGCCCTTCTCCCCTCGGGCAGGGTAACGCCACAAGGACACACGCAACGGCACGTTGCTTGTCACCCGCGCAGGGCCCCAGTCCGCCGTAGGTCGCGTACACCACAGACTAGACGGCAGGTAGACGCAGGCAGGCCCTTCTCCCCTCGGGCAGGGTCGCGCCACATGGACACACGCAACAGCACATTGCTTGTCACCCGCGCAGGGCCCCAGTCCGCCGTAGGTCGCGTACACCACAGACTAGACAGCAGGTAGACGCAGGCAGGCCCTTCTCCCCTCGGGCAGGGTCGCGCCACATGGACACACGCAACAGCACATTGCTTGTCACCCGCGCAGGGCCCCAGTCCGCCGTAGGTCGCGTACACGCTTACCTTCTGGTGTCTCCATCCCTGCCGTATTTGCGTCAGCTGCCCCACCGCCGGCCGTACTGCCGGCGGCTGGATGGAGGGGGGGCGCCGTTGGCGCCGGGGCGACCTCGCCCCCAGCTGACGCTGCCGCGTCCTAAGCCGGCCGGCGGGCTGCCTGCTCCTGCTTGGCGCATTCTGCGAATGCTGCCGTTTGGGCCCCAGGTTCCAGCGACCGCAACTCTCGGCAGCCGCGGTAGCTGTGTCCGGGCCTCTTGCAGTAGAAGCAGCCGTTGTCGCGTGGGGCACGGGGCTGTGCTGGGGCCGGCGGGAGTGGAAGAGGCGGGGGCGGCGGGTAAGCCGCCGCGGGAGCGGCGGCTGAGGCGAACTTCCCGAAGAGGTGCTGGCGCTGGCTGTCCGTAAATTGCGACAGGGCGGCTAGGAACTGCTGTGTGAGGGGAGAGCCCTTGCTGAATACGTCCATGACGTCCTTGAAGGGCAGGACACGGGCTGCATTCTGCACCTGCCGGAGGACCTCTTGTGTACGAAAAGCCTCCTCCCACACCTGCGCGGCCTTGGCCAAGAGCAGCGAGAGCTCCTCCGAAGAGGATGCGCAGTGTTTGGCCGCTTCCAGCTGGGACGCGAGATGCTGCAGGGAGCGGAGATGACTGTCTGCCTTGTGCGTGAAGGTCGCCTGGTCCCGGGATGCGAAGCTGACGTCCGCCAGCGAGACCAGGCTGCTGAGGCCTGGGATGCGGTCGAACACGTCTGCCCAGGCCCCTTCACGCTGAACGGTTGCCGCCAGGGGGCCCAGAGCGGACGGCGGTGCTGAGCCGAGGGGTAGGTGGCCGAGGCCCAGCACTGAAGAGTTGCTGTTTAAGTCCCCGCCACTGCCCCCCAGCGTGAGGCCCAGTCCCCCTAGGCCTCCCAGGCCTGCTGACGCTGCCCCAAATGCTTGCAGCCTGCTGCTGCCGGGAAGGCCCTGTAGGTTCAGGCCGGCACTCCAGCGTGCGTTCCCTATGGCAGGGTGCCGTTGGTCGTTCTGCAGGGTGGCGACTGCTGGCCGCCGGTCTTGCGGCAATTGCTGCTGCTGCCGTTGCTGGCGCTGAGGCTGGTGCTGTTCGCTGTCTTCTTCGTCCTGCAGAGCCGCCAGCTGCCGCTCTAGCACCGTCCTCCAGACTTCCGCTGCCTCGTCAGCGGATACAGGCTCCCTGATTTCCCGTCTTGCCAGCTCCAGGCTCGCGAGGCGCCGTACTTTGCGAGCTGCATCGCTCAAGCCCGCGTTCTCAAGGCGATCGAGAGCCCGTACAACCGCTGTCGGTGGGACGGATACGGCGCTGGGTGCCACACCCACGTCCCTCGCCGGCGCTGCCCTTGCGATTGCCGGCGACCCCGTACCGGGCATGGCGGGAGGGCCGGTGTGCTGCAGTGGCGTTGCATTGTCAATTTCCTCCGGTGCCTCTGCTTCAGCGTTGTGGATGTGAGCCGGCGCTGCTCCGGCCGCTGCGTTGCTGGGCCCTGGGAGCGCGGCCAATTCTTCTTGCAGAGCTGTCCCCTGATTGCGAAGCTGTTCCCAAGACTGGTAACGTGATAGCAACTCATAACCGCGCCTGTGCGTCTCGCGAGCCTGCCTCCGTTTAGCGTTTCTGTTTGAATTGGCCCGCTGATGGGCTTCCTGCCAGGTGCTAACTGCTACCGCGCTGCCACGGCTAGGCCTGGTAAGTCCCACTGGAGCCATGGCTGCCTGATACGCTTGTTCGGCTTGCTCTACCGCCCAATTGTACTCGCGGACCTGAGCTCGGTCTGCTTCGGTCAAACCTAGCTCTGCTAGCTCTTGGTTAATATCTGCTAATTTAGCCTCCAAAAAGGCTCGCCTACCTACAGCTGCAGCCATACTTAAGAACTGTCTGCAACTACGCAAAAGTCAGCGCCTTCCTAACTGCGCACGGAAACTCAGCGGCAAAGACCTGAAAGGCCAGCTGAGGGCAAACTGTTTAACCAAGGTCAAAACGTCTAGCACCGTCCACTCGCAAGCCTGGTGGCGACTGCTCTGCTCCCTGTCGTACATGCGCTCCAAAACCCCATTTTTAGTTGACACTCAAAATGATACGTAAAGTAAAGTCGGAACAACCTGAGGTTCGTTAGAATGTTCAGCGGAAGCAAGTGACCCACGGGTCGTGATAACTCTAGCAGCAAAGTTTTGCGAAAGCAGGTGACCAACAGGTCGCGACGGCCTTCGGATCGACAATGGTCTAAGATCTGGCCGCTAACAGGAGTAAACGTTCAAGAACAAAGTCAGAACCCACTATTGAGGCTCAAAGCAGCGAAGCGGCCGACAATGTCCAGCAGCAGGTTCATATCTCACTGGATGATCCGTATTGCCGGCGTCTCAGACTTGGCACTTGTTTCCAAAGCGTCTTGTGGCAAATGTAGCCCAAAGGGTGCTGTCCTGGCGACCACGATAGACCTCGGGTCCCGATACCACTTGTAGTGGCACAGTCCCCGGGTCGCTCCAGCTTTACTCTACTTAACTAATATAGGCTTGATTGGATGACTTGGTTGACGATGAAGAAGAAGGATTATAGGTTGAGAGGTAGTGGAAAGACTAGCGTCAGCCAGCTTTAAATAGGGCGCCGCCCTGTACGACTCATTCAGATCATCCATTCCGGGATCGGTTACTCGAGTCGCATTGCGAGATCATTAGCGTCATCATAGACGTGGCTACTAGCCTCTTTAGGCGTATGACCCATACTTATATTTCCACTTATAAATCCACCTTGTGTTACAACACGTGTTGTCTGTAGATAGACGCACCCGGGCCTTCCCATTGCAAAGGAGTCACGACAGACGGCCTTGCTTATCAGGACATGCAAAGATTATGCGAATCTCTCCAGGACGGACGGAGGAAAACGTCATGTGCTATCTGGTCAGCCGTCAGGCGGCATATCTCGCTACCAGCTGTGCACGTAGTTTGAAGGTGCATGCTGCATGGCATGGCAAATCTCCAAACTAACCTCCAGGGTTACGAGACCGTTCGTAACCCACTCTTACACCTCCCCTCCCAACTTCCAGAAGGGTGATACACATGCATAAACCGGTTGCCGGGCATGCAATAGCTAAGTCCAAAACTGGGTTCAACTGACCCATGGGTCGCTGCTGGCGACCTCATTCCCTGGACGTCAGTTATCCATCCAGCCAAGAGCTACTCGCAACATTGAGGAGCACGCTAAAGCAACATACAGCTAGCCACCGGCCACCGTCCATGCCAAACTTGTGCATCCTGCCGCGTCTCACGAAACCAGTCATCTTGCAAGAAACGAAAGGAACAAAAGGAACGAAAGGAACGAAAGCGGGTGTGCACGCACGGAAACCAACCGCCTATATGCACAGCCACAACGCTCACAAAGCTACGACTAGCCCATAACACTTGACGGTGCATGGGAGGGCCGTTCGGCGCGCATACAACAAGCGCTACCACAACACGCGCAACGGCAACAGGAAATACGCAGAAGCTGTAGCATCATCCTTCCAACTCGCTCTTCCCAAAATGCAAGTGCGTTCCCATGATGCTGACGTCGACGGTCTACCTGACAACATCCAGTCGGCATGCATGAATTGCGAGACCCAGGGTACCATATTGCGCAACAAGCTTCGATCCTCCAACTAGTTAAGACTGCTCACACAACTGTCGTCGCTCTGCAAGAGGGCCCTGCTTTCAACAAAATGCTATCAGCATTGACAAAATCTTCAGCCCCAGCACTGCTGCTGCTCTTGTCATTGCTTGCAGCTCCCGTCACACACCCCCTACCTCCCATGCAGCTCCAGAGCCGAATGAACATTCCAAAGCAACCTGCAGCTTCCTCTCCCTCCTCCCCGCCCTCACTACTCCAGCTGCCGCCGCTCCCTCACAAAGCTCCGCCGCCATCCCCAGTCCACCGCCGCCGTCAGCGCCATGGACGCCGCTAGCAGCAGCACAGCAGCAGGGGCCGCATGCCGCCACCCCTCGGGGCCGCCGCCTCCGCTGCTCCCCGCCCCCGTGTCGTACTCCCGCACCAGCTGTGTGAGCAGCGCCGCATCCAGTGCCCAGCAGGCCAGGAAGGAACGGAAGCGCACCTAGGAGAGCAGCGCAAAAGGAAAGAAATGGGTGCTAAGCTGCCATGTACTGACGTGAAGCACGGCGCGGAACTGCTGTAGGCGGGCATTTCCGTCACTTGCTCCACAGCCTCCGTCTTGCAGCTGCTTGCTAGGAACGAATGGCCGGATAATAACGAGACCTCACGCCCGTTACTCTAATAGCCCCTTGGCCCTAAGCCTTGAAACTTACCGAGTGTACGGCGGGCTGCAGCAGCACCAGTACGGCAGCCAAGTCACGAAGCGCCCCTCGAAGGGCCCCCGGGAGCAGGTAGTGCCGCCAGGCGCATACCACCAGCAGCAGCTGGGTGAGCATGTGCGCGCAGGAAGCCTGCAGCTCTCGGAGCCTGGTGGTGCGTGGTGGTGCAGGAGAGGGCGGCAGAGGCGCCAGTCAGTACAGTTAAGCCAGCAAGAGCAAGCCATACGCATGCCCCGTTCCCATCCGTCTATCTAGACCTCATCCGTCGTCATAAGGTAAAACCCATAAAGTGGTAAAATACGCACCGTAGTCACTGCTTGCAAAACACCACCGCATCTCCTAACCCTCCCCTCGGTTTCCACATGTCGCCAGCTCACCTCTGTGTGCCGCCGTGACCGCGCACTCTGCCGATGGCGCCCTCCAGACGACCCATGGGTCGGAGCAGCGCTGGGGCCACCAACAGCACCGGCAGTAAGCCACCCCACAGTAGCGCCGCCAGCAGCCCACCTGCATCCCACCGCTGCCGGCACCACCACCACCTCCACTCGCTTCCCCACGCGCGGCATGTCAGGAGCACAAGCGCACCCATGGCCGACGCAACGGCGACGGCTATGTTCTGGATCAGCCCCGACTGCCTTCCCAGAAACGCCTCGAAAGCAACCTCCTGTCCCGGGTCGTCGAAGCCCCACAACACGGACCGCAGCTCGGCGGGCTGCATGGCGGGGCCTGCTGCGCCGCCGCCGCCGCCGCTGCCGCTGCTAGCCAGGGTAGGGGCGCTTCCATTAACGCTGCCATCGGGGCTGCCGTGGGCGCCGCTGCTGTGTTCATGACGTGATGAGGCTTCGGGGGTAGGGTCGTGGGACTCGGCAGCCGGCTGCTGCTGCGCTGCCTCCTCGTCGTCATCGTCCGGGTCGTCGCCCTGAAGCTGCACGCCTGCATGTGGGGGATGAAGGGATGCGGAGGGGTGCAGCGGGCACTTGGAGGTACGCATGCCGTTAGGTTTGGGCTTGCGGCACTGGACATGCCGATGTAACGCTGCTAACGCAGTGGGGCCGTCCGGCAGCAGACGAGACATGCCGACACAGTGAGCTCATTGAATGAAGAGCCCTAGTTGAAACGGTAACCGCATACGGGGCAGTCGAGCCGCACTAATGCTGTCCAGCCACTCGTAACGCTCGCACGCCCACGGACCTGTATCCTGCAGCTCCCGCAGCAAGTACGCCAGCGTCTCCCCCAGTCCCATGTCCTTCAGGAACTGCACCAGGCCCGTCCCCAGGTTGTGAAGCTCGGCCAACAGCCCCTCCCGCTCCTCCTTTTGCTCAAGGCCTCCAGCAGATCCTTCATGCACCGCCTCCGCCTCCGCCGCCAGCCTCTCACACCCCAGCAGCAGCGACACCATGTCCGACACGAGCGAGGAGTAGTGCTGCGTGAAGGCGCGAGCCCGGGTGACCCGCGGGTCGGTGTCCGGCGGGGCTGCGGCGGCCGCCTCCCGCTCCATGTCGCGCATGAGGCCGCACAGCTCTTCCGCCACCGCCGGAGGAACCACCGCGAAGGGGGTGTACAGCAGGGCCGCGACGGTGGGGGGTGCGGGCTGCGGGGTGGCGGGCCCTGCCGCCTGCCCCCCGCCCTGCCCCCCGCCCAGCCCCGCATCCGGCCCCCGGTACGGCAGCACCAGCAGCGCCGCACTGCCCTCGACCAGACACGACAAGTCCAGGCTGCAAAAACATTAAGAGGAAAAGAAGTGTGTAAGTGGCGACAGCGGCCATTCCGTCTGCTGCCTAGCGGCAATGAACATTCAGGCTCCGTGGTGCACATACAATACCTACACATTGTAAGCTACCATGCTATCCCGGCTGTGCCATCTTGAACCACCTCCCCTGTCGCCACCCACCTGACACTGCCTCCCTCCGGTCCCACCCGCACTCGCTCCTCCTCCGCCACCACCACACCGTGCTGCTTCACCACCACGCGCACGTCGGCGAAGGGAGGGGCAGCAGCAGGGGCGGCAGGGGCGGCAGGGGCGGTGTCCAGAAAGAAATCGATGCGGACGGTGCGACCAGCAGCAGCAGCAGCTGACGAACCGGGGTGCTCTGAGGTGTCAAGGCGGCGGGGCGGCTGAGGCTGCGGCTGCGGCTGCTGCGGCTGCATCTGCGGCTGCTGCTGCTGCTCCCTTCCAGGCCTGATGGGCTCCAACGTCATCACGCCCTCAGCAACAGTGGCACCACCACCACCGCCGCTGCCTCCCACGCGCTCCTCTGCTGCATGCCGCATAGCGTAATGCGGATGCGGCTCCCCAGCAACCCCGTCCATTACATCTTCGTCGCTACCCCAGCCGTCGCTGAAGCCATGGACCAGGCGGAGGAGGGCAGGCAGCGGCGCGCTGGAAGGGCCAGAGGCGCGAAACCCGGCAACAGGGCCGCTGAATGCGCGTTCGGCAAAGAACGCCGCGTCGCAAGACTTCACGCGGCGAATGCGCGGCCGCGTTCCTTCGCCTGCCCTTGCGCCGAGATCTGGGGTGGTGGGACGCTCCGGCGGCGGCGCGGACTGCGGCCGTTGCTCTGACGCCGACGGTCGCGGCGGCGATGCCGCCTCTGCTGCCGCCTCCGCTGCCACGTCCGTCGCCGCCAACGCCGCCGCCGTCGCAGCCTCCTGCTGTCTTCGCTGCATCACCATCGCCTTCGCCTCCGCC